GAGAAAGATAGAGATAGAGAGAGAGAGAGAGAGAGAGAGAGAGAGAGAGAGAGCCTTAATCTGGCTACGTTAAAAGCTTTCGTTGGCTTGTCAAAGATAGCCCTTTATCTACTCCTGATATATATGGTAGGCTATAATGTTAGGCGTATGCTTGGCGTATAATGTTACGCTATGCGATGTGCAATAACCTTTGCATTGCACGTATTAGTGGTAGCCATATTGCGTGACGTCATCATAGACCTGGAGGTGTGACCCAAAGGACGCACCCTACATCAGCATCCGGTCAAGCAAAGCCCTGGTCACAACGAGCCCACGACGCATTTGTGCAACGACACGACAGAAAATTTGGGCAAGTCGTGGGTCATCGGGGGTCGTCGCAAGACAGTCCCACGAAATTTTGAGCATCGTACGTGGCATCGACTTGCCGTCGTGAGGCAAAATTGAACATGCACCTTTTTTGTTGCACGATTTTTTGTGGTATCTATATGTCTTCTGGTTGTCGTGAGTCTGTCCTACAACAGTCTTGCGACAGTCTTGCGACTGTCGTGCGATAAATATCTTGTCATGGGTACCAGAAGAAATTTTTTTAGTCAAACAATCTTACGACTATCGCACGACTGTCCTACAACTGTCTCACGGCTGTCGCAGGACAATTGCAAGATTGTCTCACGAATATTATATTTCGTAAGAGGCTCGCACAACATTGCAAGTCTGTCGTGCGTTAGTCTTGCGTTAGTCTTGCAACATATTTTCGTTTTTTGAGGGGTATATAACTCGGGCGAATGAACGCTTGGAATTAAAAACTGCCTGTCGGCGCTGAAAGAGGATGGCTATTCCTCGCGTGGCCCTGCTGAGGGGTCGTCTGGAGGAACTCCAGCACGAGCATAATATAGTGCTGTTGGCGTTCAGCCCCTTCAGCAAGCTATAATTATTATAAAGTTTTTTTTCAGACGGCACTGTACGTTTAACACGGGCGCGCGCATGCGCAATATCTTCCGAGAGAAATCGTATTTTGCAAAGATTATGCATTTAAAATGAAGAGGAGTTATCCTAGCATTGATTTATATGATAACATTCTATCTATAGACATTATTTCAGAAATAGGAGGAATACCTTACATATGTAAGGTGTTGGCCGCGTATACAAGCCAGCACATAATCTGGCTACGTTATAGTGTGTTAGCGCATGCGCAATATCTCACCAGAGGAGTTATATTTTGTGATGAATATGCATTTAATATGGTTAGGGGTTATCTCAGCAAAGATTTCCCTAATAAACTTTTATTAGTTGACATGTGTTTATAATTAGGAGAGCGCCCTAGCATGTAGGGTACAAAACACCTACTTTATGCCCTCGCGTCATTCCCCTTGCCTCCTCTGTCCCTCGCTCAGCGTCCTTCTTCTTCTACCGCCCCAGCTATTATTCCTGTCGCATTTCATCAGTCTCCCATCCCTTCTCCCCCTCAGCAAGCCATATTATAAAGTTTTCTTCAGACGGCACTGCACGTTTAACACGGTGCGCGCGCATGCGCAATATCTTCCGAAAGAAATCGTATTTTGCAAAGATTATGCATTTAAAATGAAGAGGAGTTATCCTAGCATTGATTTATATAATAACATTCCATCTGTAGACTTCATTTCAGAAATAGGAAGAATACCTTACATGTATGGTGTTGGCTGCGTATACAAGCCCGTACACAATCTGGCTACGTTAGTGTGTTAGCGCATGTGTAGTATCTCACCAGCAGAGGAGTTCTATTTTGTGATGAATATGCATTTAATATAGCTAAAGCTTATCTCAGCATAGATTTCCCTGATAAACTTTTATCAGTTGACATGTGTTTATAATTAGGAGAGCGCCCTAGCATGTAGGGTACAAAACACCTACTTTATGCCTTCGCGTCATTCCCCTTGCCTCCCCTGTCCCTCGCTCAGCCTCCTTCTTCTTCTACCGACCCCAGCTATCTTCCCTCCCGCCCTTCATAATCCACTTTCAGAACTTCAGTTTGACCACAAGAACGTATTAATATATTCATGTAGGGGGCCTATATATTATATATATATATATATATATATTATATATATATATGGATATATAATACATAATAAGAAATCAAATAATAGCACTCAGCTACAAATAACACAAAGTGGAACCTAAGCATCGATGTATATTTATGCATCCCTGTTACTGTGGAAACGTCAAGCCTATATAACGACAAAGAACACAACTCACAAGAATTGTAAGACAGACATAATTTTATGTTCATATATTTATCTTCACAAAGCTTCACTTGGCAGCTGTGCCAACGCGCTGCATGTAAAAAGCACTGCACATATCTAAAACCGCACGCATAAACATCACATCACACAATATTCAATACAGGGGGGCTTATGTAAGAATTGCGAGGTCTGTACGTTTAGTTTGGTACACTTATTGGCCCGCTGATTTTCTCGTTGTTAGAGACATAAGATATATTGTTATAGACATAACAAATGTCTTTTAGTGATGACCCCCCTGCCCACCGCAAATACAGCTAAAACTCAAAATTCTACTTTGTGTGTGTGTGTTGGCATGATTTTTAACATAGATAGAAACATCTGTTTTCCATACGATATGGCTTTATGAAGAACAAGAAAAACAATGGGTCCAATAAATAACATTCAAAAAGTACAGAATGACATAAACCCCTACACTATTTCATTTGAAAACCTATAAACTCTCTAGTCTTGTAGAAATTCCCTAAAAACGTGTATAGAAATACCATGCAAGCCCACTCCCACATGCGGTATAGAAATTGATATGCTGGGGATATGAAGGAGATCTCTTTTTTTTCTTCTCTCTATAATATTTCTATAGGGACGTAAGGGCGGATAAAAATCTGTATAAATCACATAGACACAGTTAAAATATTGTTTCGCAATTCGTTTTCCATCATAACTGATCATAACAACATGACATGAAGTTAAAATCGAGTCACTCACGCCTACAGCTAACTTCATAAGCATAGGTAATCACCCGAGACTGCATTGACTATGCGTCGATTAATTGCACACTGGTTCCCGTATTCTAATTGACTTTTAATAAACATTTACTTAGACTTAAACACACCAACGTAATTCATTCACGCTTTGCAACATAGTCCCATTACATTTAAGTAACGCATGCATTCGCACAAAATACCTTATGGACACTAGACCATTAACATTCAGTTTGACTACATAGCTGATATTCCCTAATTCAAATTACATTCCACAGATCTTTACATAACGTCGCTAAAACAACAGGGCCGCACTGAAAACAGCAAAAATGTTACACTCGGTGCGTCCATGGAAATATCGGTAATGTGCCCTTTCATCTACTGCATTTTTACGTTTGCCCTTGACATTGACACTGAATATGTACGTCCTAACTGAAAGCTCTGTGTCACATGTGAAGACCGTTCGTCAAGCCAATGACTAACGAATACACGAGGTACCGTAGGTCAAGCCAATGACTAACGAATACACGAGGTACCGTTCGTCAAGCCAATGACTAACGAATACACGAGGTACCGTAGGTCAAGCCAATGACTAACGAATACACGAGGTACCGTTCGTCAAGCCAATGACTAACGAATACACGAGGTACCGTAGGTCAAGCCACTGACTAAC